TCACAGAGGGTGGAGGGTGGTACTGAGCACTGGACTGGACCCACACTTCAGAGAGGGTGGAGGGTGGTACTGGGACTGGACCCACACTTCACAGAGGGTGGAGGGTGGTACTGGGACTGGACTGGACCCACACTTCAGAGAGGGTGGAGGGTGGTACTGGGACTGGACTGGACCCACACTTCACAGAGGGTGGAGTGTGTGCACTGGGACTGGACCCACACTTCACAGAGGGTGGAGGGTGGTACTGGGACTGGACTGGACCCACACTTCACAGAGGGTGGAGGGTGGTACTGGGACTGGACTGGACCCACACTTCAGAGAGGGTGGAGGGTGGTACTGGGACTGGACTGGACCGTACAGTCCGTTTACCATTCTCAGCAGGTTTCTAAGGTTCTTCTTCTACATATTAAAAGTTGTTAAACATCTGAGTGGTGCACTACTGCTACTAGTGGTCAGAAAGTGTATTACACCTTATTTAAAACCAATGTGGTCCCACGGCCCTCTGTGGCCCAAAGTTAAAAACTGTTGTTCTTTAGAGGCCCTGAAGGTGGCGCTGTGGCCCACAGGTTAAGAGTCTCTGATCCAACAGTCTGACCCTCTGGTTCTGGTTGTTCTGTTGTTGGACTGATGTTCTCCACAGTTCCTGCTGCACCACAAGGCCATGATCATCCAGAAGAGCGTGCGCGGCTGGCTGCAGAGGAGGAAGTTCAGGCGAGCGCGCRCCGCCGCMGTCATCATCCAGTGTGGCTTCAGACGCCTGCAGGCCAAGAAGCAGCTGAAGCAGCTGAAGATCGAAGCTCGCTCTGCAGAACGCCTGAAGAAGCTCAACACGGGCATGGAGAACAAGATCGTCCAGCTGCAGAGGAAGATGGACGAGCAGGTGCGTGCACGCACACACGTGCACACTCTGAGTGCCACCAGGTGCGCTGACAGGAGCTGCTTGTGTTCCAGTCCAAAGAGATGAAGGCTCAGAACGAGCAGCTGCTGACGGTCAACACCTCGCTGGGGTCAGAGGTCAGCAAGCTGCAGAAGGAGCTGGAGCTGGTCCGGGGTCAGCAGCCGGACGGAGGCCGGGTCATGTCGCTGCAGGAGCAGGTGGACAAGCTGCAGGAGGAGCTGCAGGAGGCGCAGGCCGAGAAGAAGAGGCTGCAGGAGGAGCACAGCAGCGAGAAGCTGAGCCTCACACAGGTGGGCACCAGTGGGCGGAGCTTCAGGAGCCTCACCTTTGAGAGGAGCTGCAGCTTTATTCTTTCTGTTTGACCCTCAGAGGCTGGAGGAGCTGCAGGCAGAAAACTCTCTGTTAAAGAGCGAGAAGGAAGAACTGAACCGACAGATCCAGCAGCGCTCCAAGACGTCTGCAGGTGAGGGTCTCCCCTGCACACCTGGCACCAGGTCCAGGTCTGTCTGAGCCCTGCTGATCCTGTGTTTGTGTGTCAGAGGAGACCAGCAGTGCCTCCCTGCAGGCCGAGCTGGACGGGGAGCGGCAGCGCTACCAGAACCTTCTGAAGGAGTTCTCCAGGCTGGAGCAGAGATACGACAACCTGAAGGAGGAGATGTCTCTGAGCAAGGTGACCTCTGACCTCACATCACCTCTGCTAGAACCTGCAGGTGTGAGTTCTGACAGAGGCTCACACCTGCAGGGAGCAGCTCCTGCAGCTGGAGCTGAGGGGGCGGGGCTGATGGAGCTTTGACACATTTCTGTCTGAAGTCACTTTGTCAGGTTTAATGAAACTGTGAGCTGACTCCTCCTCTTCCTCCTCCAGTTCCAGCCCGGCCACCACAGGAACCCGTCCAATCAGAGCAGCCTGGAGTCCGACTCCAACTACCCCTCCTTCTCCACCTCTGAGGTGGGAGACACCGAGGACTCCATCCAGCTGGTGGAGGTCAGTTAGGGGGCGGAGCTGCTTTTTTCTCTTTCAACACAGTTAGACKTTGTGATTAAAGCGAGTAAATGTGTCGTGGTGGTCCTGGTTTCAGGAGATGGGGGTGGAGAAGGCTGCCATGGACATCAGTTTGTTCATGAAGCTGCAGAAACGAGTGCGAGAGCTGGAGACAGAAAGGAAGAGGCTGCAGAACAACCTGGACAAGATGGAGGAGTTGGCCAAGCGTAGGGTGAGGCTTCCTGTTAGTCACCTGGTCCAGTCTGTCTGATGAAGGTCACCATCTTCATCAGAACCCCCAAATTTCATGTGTTTCTTTCACTGCAGACTTCTGATGTGAAGATTTCCTCCAGGGAGCACGAGACCTCAGATCTGGCCTACAACAACCTAAAGGTGCCAACAGAACCTTTTTATTTGTGCAGAAATCTGAAGCTCAGGCTGTTAACGAACTAATGAGGTCATGTTTTATACCTGGTTATAAACACACTTGTTCATGTGTTATTACTGGTTATAAACACACTTGTTCATGTGTTATTACTGGTTATAAACACACTTGTTCATGTTTTATACCTGGTTATAAACACACTTGTTCATGTGTTATTACTGGTTATAAACACACTTGTTCATGTTTTATACCTGGTTATAAACACACTTGTTCATGTTTTATACCTGGTTATAAACACACTTGTTCATGTTTTATACCTGGTTATAAACACACTTGTTCATGTGTTATAAC